TGCCTCTGAAAAGAAGCTAATTACTAGAAATAATTAACTAGAAAGAAATCTGTTATGGTTTATCAGTTTCCCTGCTGTTTCAAGCGTCCCATTCCCTCCTCCCCACCCCCTACCCTCCTGCCGCCGCTGGGGAGGGGACGCCATCAGGGCGACAAATTTCAAGGATTCAGTTTTTTCTGAAGAAGGAAAATTCCCCTCACAGTGTATGGACACGTGTGTTTGGGTCAGGCTGTGTTTGGGAACAGTGAGAGACCAAGGCTTGCATAAGTCAGTGTGTATACTCATATACACATGGGTATTGAAGATGTCACCAGATCCAACCCAGTTACCTGTGTAGGAATGAAATCCGGAGAACGGATGGAGGAGAAGGCGGCAATACTCAGGGTCCTGCTAGGTTCTAAGAGGCAGCCCTGACCTACCAAGCCTCTACCAAGCACCCCTTTGGTTAAATTATGGCCTTAACAGGTACCAGTTTGGATTTGGCAAAAGGGCCACACTTGAGGACCTAGAGGGCCACAAGTGGCCTCGAGGCCCCACGTTCCCCACCCCTTGTAAGCAAACCACTGCTCCTTATCCAAGAGTCAGTTTCCTCATCTCTGAAATGGGGACACCAGTCAGTGTTCTTTCTCTCACAGAGCTGTACGTGAGGAAAGTATGGGAGTTAATATTCTTGCCAAAGAAAGAGCTGCAGTTCTACCCTCTCCTGGAATCCAATCCAATCCAGATGAACCTGTAACCCAGACCCGGCTCTGCTCAGGGGATGGTGGATACTTCTACAACTGCTCTCTTGCACCGTCACTCCAACTTCTGGGCCCCATATCCTGCTCTTCTTTCCCAAGCAGTCCACCCTGAGGTTTCCCAGCAGGATCCTGGAAGAAAGACAACCTAAGGGATCCTAAGGGATCAGAGGATGAGCTGGGAGCCCAGAAGGAAGAAGCAATCCCTCTCTGTTTGCCCTAACAAGGACCATAAAGGTGATATTAAAATGGGTGCTAGGTGGGACAGTGGACAGAGTGCTGGGCTTGGAGTCAGGAAGACGCATCTTCCTGAATTCAAATCCAACCTCGGACACTTACTAGCTGTGTGATCCTGGGCAAGTCACTTCACCCTGTTTGCCTCAGTTTCCCCATCTGTCAAATGAGCTGGGGAAGGAAATAGTAAACCATCCCAGTATCCCTGCCAAGAAAACCCCAAATGGGATCACAAAGAGTCAGTCACGACTGAAAAACAACTAGTCGGAGCAGCCTTAGGATCAAAGCTCTCACTTCTATAGGGTTTGAGCTACTAACAATGACCCTGTGAGGCAGGCAGGGTGAGAGCCGTTTGAGAGACAGAGAAACCTGAGGCTCAGAGAAGAAGTGAGCTGTTCATGGACAAAGAGCTACCAAGCATTGGCTCAGCCACTTACTCCCCAGGGTGGCCTCTGTCAAGCCATCCCCCACCCTGCCCCCAGTCTGTGAGCCTCAGTGTCCTTATTTGTAAAATGAAGGAGAGAGAGTTTGGTTTAAACAACCTCTAAGGTCCCAGCTGGGCTTAAATCCTTTGAAAACTTTTGAGATCTTTCCCTTTCCCTAACAAGTGACGGAGCTTGAGTTTGAACCCAGGTCTCTCGGCTCCAAGGGAAGGGCTGTTTCCAGAACACACATGGCTCACGGCAGCCCAGGAATAGCGACATGCCTGCCCCAGGAGACCTGGGAGGGGCATACTGTGACAAACAAGTGTCTCAGATGAGGAAACAGGAGCCTTTGGTGTGTCACTGACTTAAAATGTGCTTTGACACTCTTCTCTCCCTCTGTGGACCTCAGTTTCCCATTCTGTAAGAGGGATTGGGTAAGGAGATGCGGGCAGATGGGAGGATGGATGTAGAAGAGCTGCATAAATGGGAGGGATTCTATCAAATATTGCAGCAGAGAAAGAGGCCAGGCTTGGGAGGGCACAGGGGACCCTGAGCCCGCAGCAAGCACTGGGCTGGGCTACGGTGCTTCAGGCTCAAACCTCTCTCTACCTCTGCTGCTCTTGTGATGGCGCCATGAGTCCCCAGCTCTTCCCAGGAGGGGCAGAACGGACGGCATTATTAGATATGATTAGCATTACTGCATTATACTTATTAATACATTCCCTCAAGGGGGCCTCCTGGGAGCTTGGTCGCCATCATATCAACAGCAGCCACTGCTTTCCCAGGGGCCTTTCTGGCTCAACTCTTGTATGGGTCCAATCAGTGATTCTATCCCTTCTTCTCCAGGACTCAGACTCAGGCTCAGGGTGGGAGAACCCCAACACTGCCAATGGAAATGGAAAGGACCTGGTGGTCTGAGCACAGCAATGCAGGTGACTTTTGGTTACCTTGGGAAAGTCATCGTTCCCTCTGTGCCTCAATTTCCCTATGTTTAAAATGAGGAATCAGGATAAAAAGATATATGATGTGAAAGGACTTCTGGGCCTACGCTGTCCAACCCTCTTATTTTACAGATGAGGAAACTGAGGCCCAGGGAGGTTAAAATGACTTGTCCAAGGAGAGATTTGAATCCATGTCATCCAACTCAAGAGTTAGTCTTCTTTTCACACAGTTCTGACATTCTGTCCTCTAAGGGCTCTCTCAGCTCTGATATCCTGTGTTCTAAGGGCCCTCCCAGCTCTGACATCCTGGGTTCTAAGGGCCCTTCCAGCTCTGACATCCTGGGTTCCAAGGGCCCTCCCAGCTCTGACATCCTGGGTTCCGAGGGCCCTCCCAGCTCTGACATCCTGGGTTCTAAGGGCCCTCCCAGCTCTGACATCCTGTGTTCTAAGGGCCCTCGCAGCTCTGACATCCTGTGTTCTAAGGACCCTCCCAGCTCTGACATCCTGTGTTCTAAGGACCTTCCCAGCTCTGACATCCTGTGTTCTAAGGCCCTCCCAGTTCTAATGTTTGATGGTCCCATAAGATGTCCCCTGGAGACAGAGCTCTGGCTGAGAGGGCAGAATTAATGGCTGTGCACATATGGAAGAGGGCTGGAGCCACATGTGAGGGGACTAAGAGGGCTGAGGCAAGTGTGATTACTTCAGGGGTGAATGATAAGCCCACAGGGGCTACGTTCTGATAGGGGAAACCCTGAGAACAGCTTGCCAGTCCCTCTTGTTTCCCGGCCCTTTGTCCCCTGAGCTTACATGGGGCTCTCTCCAGCTGCAGGGCCCTAGTTACATAGACAGCCTCAACCCCCATCCCACCCTGACCTTGAGCAAAGCTTGGGAAATGAAGCTGTCTCTCGGTGGAACTCCCAGGGCCAAGGGAGTAGAAACCATAAATTGGAGCTGACTCTGGTAAGCAAATAACAGAGACCCTCAGACCTGGCAGGAACCGCAGTGAACGTCTCATCTGATTCATCCCTGAGAACCAGTCCTTTCTACCACATTGCCCAACTTCCATATGGACACCTCCATTACACTTTCAGAGAACTCTGGTTCACACAAAGTTTTTGTTTGTATCTAGTCCAATCCACCATACCTGAGCAAATATCACTTTGACAACAACCCCGACAGGAGAGGAGACAGCTAGTGGCACAGTGTATCCACTGGTCCTGGAGTCAAGTTCAAATCTGACCTAAGACACTTCCTAGCTGTGTGACCCTGGATAAGCCAGGTAACCTGTTTGCCTCAGTTTCCTCATCTGTAAAATGGGGATAATAATGGCACCTATCTTGCAGAGTTGCTCTGAGGGTCAAATGAGATATTTATATAGTGCTTAACATGGTGCCTGACACACAGCAGGTACTATATAAATGCTCCCTTCTATCCCCAACAGTGATGGATGCCTAATCAAATTACAAGGAGCACACTAACAAGGAAGGGAAGAAGAGAGGAGGGGAGGGGAGGAGGGAGGAAGGAAACCAAGACAGAGAGAAAGTCAATACAACAGCCTTCAGGCATGACTCAGTCACCTCCCTAGTGGAGTGGAATTAAATCTTTGCCCAGCCTGACAAAGCCTCTGAATGGCTATGTCAGACCCAGGCCTGGGGGATAGGACTCCTGTGTTCAATCCCTACTGCAGTGTCTAGCCTGTGGCAACTGGCCCCAAGCTGTTGCCCCACCTCCATTTCCTTCTAAGGAGGAATATGTGGAGCCTGGGCTAGGGAGGGAGTCTAGGATGGGAGCCTCCTGGCCTTAGTGATTCTTGTTCTCCCATATGAATTTCATCATTTTTCCTAGAGCTATAAAATTATCTTTTGGGAGTATGAAACAGTACTCAATAAGTTTTAGGTATTTTAATTTTAATTTAGGTATGTATAATTTAGGTAGTACTGTCATTTTTATTATATTGGCTCAACCTACCCATGAGCAATTAATGTTTCTTCAGTTACTCTGGTGCTGCACTTCCTATGCCTTGAATACCCATACCCAATCTGCATCGGTTGAATTCCTATTTACACTTTCAAGGCCACCTCCAATGTCACCTCCTTCAGGAAGCTTTTCTGATTGGATTAAGCTCTCTTAAACTTCAAACAGCACTTTATTTATACCTCCTATGGTACATTTAGCAGGTGTAGGCTGGTACAGATCAGTTCTCTAGGTTTGCTAACTGTGAATTCCATGAGCACACAAGGACTGAGTCTTGTTTTAATTTTGTTATTTTCCCCAGTATTCAGCAGAGTATTTTATACAGGATAGTCACTTAAATGTTTGTTAAATGAATGAATGAATGAAGCCAGTAATCAGCCTATAAATCAGAGGGCTCTACCTTGAAAATTCTGGGTAGGAACTGACAGAACTCCATTCATCCTTGTCTGCTGCTGCCCCTACCCTCAGTGGCTAAAAGTACGTGCCCTGCAAATGTTTGCTGAATGACTGACTGACCAGACTCAAGATCTCTTCAAAGGCCAGGAAGGGAGTCAAACAAATGACATCTCTGAAATGAACTTGGTCAGGATGGAGACTCCCACTCCTAACTATAGGCTGTTCCTCTCCCCCAAAGCAGACCAACTCCTTGGCCCCACTCCCTCCCAGCCACCCTCTGGAGGACCACTCACCTACGAGTCCAGATCCCAGGAATGATGTTGAAGATATGCTATTGTGAGAGGCAAGGTCTCGGGGCTCTGTGTAGTGAGAACCTTCACTGTAAGCCTGGTTAGGGGTGGGGTGGGGCCAGAGGGGGGTGGGGAAGACAAGGGTATAAGAGAAAGAAGATTCCATGAGATTCACATGGATAGATGCATGTACAGTCCCTACATCAAATGCTGGTCTCAAAGACATTGGGGGAAGCTGGGAGTGACTAGCCACTCAACCAGACTGTCTGCCTGGTTTTAACCATGTGAAATCTTCCAAGCCTTTTAACAAATATGTTCCCTTTTTGAAGGAAAATGAGGGAGTGAGGTTGGAAGATACTGAGCTAGCTTTAAGATCTGCCATAGATTTGGCTGAGTGACCTTAAGTAAGGTCACTGAACATCTTTTGGCCTCTTTTTCTTCTGCCTACGGAAAAAGAAGAGTGCAAGAATCCCCCGTCTGCCTCCCAAGGATGTATTCGGTTTGGGACCATGCTCAACACCTTTCCAAAAGCTTGGCTAGAAGGAGGACCAACCTCCTCCAGGAGGGCTGGTGCAGATCAGATAGAGAGTGGCTAGGGTGGGAGGAGCCAGGAAGTTATGAGCCATCAGAGCCCTTGGGGATGGGGGTTCAGAGTCTTCAGTCCATGCCCTTTTAAAGGCAGGATGAGAGAAAGGCTGATGTGGAAGCTAGCAGTACTGAGAAACCGAGTCACATCAGATAGGGCCTTACCCTTCCTTGGTCGAATGAGGAATTGATTTGATCTCCTGCTGTTCCCCACGACCCAGAGCCCGGTCTCTCTTCCAAACCTATCAAAGGGGAAGATAAAAAGGGGAAACAGGGTTATCCTCAGTATCAAAGTTTCCACTATCACAGGTCTGACTTGAGGCACTGCCTCCCCATTTTTACCCACTGTGAATATGGCTTGAGTCCACCCTGAAACATGCCTAATAATAAGCAGAGCTAGTTGTCCAGTAGAGTTCCAATCAAACTGGACTGCCAGCCACTCCTCAGACTCCATACTCTCTCGCGCTCGCCCCTGTGAGTTCACCCAATTATTCTGTCTCAACTGAATCTTTGTCTTCTTTTAAGGTTCAGCTCTCAGCTGCCACTCTTCCACTGTCCTGGCACTGTACTTATTGTATATAACTGTTGTATTCTCCTAGTACAGTGTAAGCTCCTTGAAGGCAAGGACTGTCTTTCATCCTTGTGACTCTAGAGCCTGGCACAGTACTTAGCACACAGTAGCTATTTAATAACATTAAAAAAAACTGAATTTAAATCAACTTCCCATTTTTTATGGTAGCAAAGAACTGGCAACAAAGTACTTGCCCAATCACTGGGGAATGGCTAAACAACTTGTTGGGTATAGATATAATGAAATATTACTATGTCTTAAGAACAATGAATATGAAAATTAGAGAATCATAGGAAGACTTCTATGAACTGATACAAAGTCAAGTAAGCAGAACCAGGGGAAATACACACACAATGACTGCAATGTAAATGGAAAGTACAACAACAACAAAAAAAAAACCAAAACAACTGAACTCCAAGAAATTATAATGATCATGTTTAGTCCCAAAGAAGAGCTTTATCAACTTTCTTTCTTTGCAGAAGTGGGAGACTATGGGAGAGGAATATTCCATCTACTAACAAATTTGCTTGAGAAGTTGGTTAGTTTTTACTGTTTTCCCTCCTTGTTCTTTTCTAATTTTTTTTTCTTGTTACATTATGGGGGTTAGTTCTTTGGGAAGAATATATATTTAGAAATGAAAGTAATGTAAAAATGAAAAACACCAATAATTTTTAAGAAAAAGAAACTGATGGCTCATATTTGCATAACTTTTGAAAACACTGTGTAAGCTGTGCTTCTAAGAATCTTGCTAGGGAGGTCAGCAGAGCAAGGATAAATCTCCCCATTTCATAAACGAGGACCCTGAGGTTCAAGACAGATTATATTTCTATAGTACTTAACAGATTTCAAAGAATTCTGATTACAACAGCCTGGTAAGGAAGCCTGGAAAGGCTCATCCTCTCTATTTCAAAGATGAGGACACTGAGGTTTAGACACCAACAGGTGACACTCCCATAATACTTTATAAAGAGATTTCATTATAACCTTCCAATGAAGTCACGAGTACAATTTTTCACCCCCATTTTAGAGATGGGGAAATTGAGGCCAGGGCAGGGAGGTGGTTTGCCACAGGTTCTCTGGCAAATGAGGGGCAGCGCATGGACCCAAACCCAGGCTGCTCGATGGCCAAACCAAACCTACTTTTCCACCCTACTTTGGGGTCTCCATACCTGTGCTTGTCAGCTGAGCTAGTACTAAAGACCAAAGACCATTTTCAACAAAATTCTAGGTTAAGAGTTCTTGAGTTTCTGCCCCTAGTGGTGGTGGTGAGGGACGGCGAAACATTCCAGTGTCAGACAAATGGGCCCTTAACTGGTCTTGAGGCTCAGGTGCTGCTTCAACCCCCATATTATGCTCTTCATCATTTGGAGCAATAGGAAAGCATGCGGGGGGGGGGAGTAAGGGAGGAGGAGAGAGAGAGGGAGAAAGGAGTGTGTGTGTATATAAGAAGAGAGAAGGGAGGGAAGGGGGTGGGGAAGGAAGAGAGGGAGAGGAGAGAGAGTGACAGAAGGAGAGAGGGAAGGAGGAGGAGAAAGACGAGAAAGGAGAGACAGAGAGGTTAGCAAGAGAAGGGAAGAAAGGGGTGGGAGGGAGAGAGGAGAAAGGAGAGTGAGAGAATGGAGGGAGGGGAGAGAGAGAGAGGAGAGAGAGAGAAGGAGAAAGAGGAAGAAGAAGAGAAAGGAGAGAGGATAGCAAGAGAAGGGAGGGGGGTGGGAGGGAGAGAGAGAGGAGAAAGGAGAGTAAGAGAATGGAGAGGAGGGGGGAAGGGAAAGAGGGAAAGAGAAAGAGAGAGAGAGAGAGAGAGAGAGAGAGAGAGAGAGAGAGAGAGAGAGAGAGAGAGAGGGAAAGAGGAGAGAGAGAGAGAGAGAGAGAGAGAGAGAGAGAGAGAGAGAGAGAGAGAGAGAGAGAGAGAGGTCACACATATGTGTGTGGAGGGGGAAGGGGACAGAATTCTCTTTCCTGGCTGGCTCAGAATCCAGCCTCCCACCACCATTTACCACAGCTACCACCACGCCCGGTACTCAGCAAAGATAAGCAGGAGGCTGACACCCAAGACCCTGGCTTGCCTACTCTTCTTGGAAGAGTCTGTTTTCAGGAAAGGAACCTCCTGAGCATTTTTCTTCCTTTTTCTACATGATGCAACCCCCTCACCATTCCTCTCCCTAAGGACACCTTTACAATTCCTGAATGTTAAAGCTAGAAGGGGTCTAAGCAAAGAAAACGAGGGACATCAGAGCTGCAAGTATCTTTAGAACAGGAATATGGAACGTCAGAACCAGGAAGGAGCTTAGAACAGGGAACAAAGACTGTCATCAGAAGCGGAAAGGAGAAAGGTCTCTCCCTGGTTCTGGGCCTGGCTCTACCCCGTCCCTCCTTCCAGGGTGGGGTCACAGTCGAGGCTGTGGGCAGTCCTGGGGGATCCAGAACTGCTGGGAGACAAGCCCTTGTTATCATGGCACACATGGTAACGGCTGCTTGGAGAAAGGACTGAAGTACTAAACAGCCCAAGAGGCACACTGCCTACAGGTTTCAAGGTTACACACATCAGCCTCTTTCCTCTCCATCTGGAGATGTATCCCCAGCCCGAAGGTGATGGCCTGTACATTGTATGCCCATTTCAGAGATGGAGAAATGGAGGGCCACAGTGGGCACATGATCTGACCAAGGTCACGCTGAGCTGCCTCGTGACCCCTGCTGGGGACCTTAGTCCCTTATCTATAAAGTAAGGATGTCGGACCCTTTAAGCACCCTTACTGATCCTCATCGTTTAGCTGGGTCAGGGCTTCTGCAGGGCTTTGGGGGAAGGAGAGAAAGCTCCCTGCCCTCTCCTCCCCTGGCAGCTGATTATCACAGCAAACACACTGGATCTGTCTCCCCAGCGCTGCTCACTGCTCATTTCACCAGAAACTTCTTTCAAATTACATCCTTCTATTTCGGTGCCTTTGTGTTAATCATTTCCCCAGAGAATCGGTGTTTAATTGCTGTCTAATTTGCATAATTATGCATATTAATCTCTACACCTAATGAATATTCATACTTCTCATTTAGATTTTGTTTTCTAATCAAAAATTTCCAATGTGATTATGGTGTGGAGCAGGATGGGGCGCTAATAATACCACGGGTACTGGGGGACGCTGCCAATTCTCCCACCGCTGACTTCCCACAATCAACTTTTGCTTTGCTTATATGTTTTCTAAAGCAATTCATCCCCAGAAACCCAGCAAACACCCACCAGACGCAGAAGACAAAAGCCTTTGCTCTCAGCTCTGCAACCTTGGGCTTCAGCACCACGAGGCCCCCTCCCCTGCTTGCCTTCCCTTCCTAGTGCCAGCCTTTAATTCCCTGGCCCCTGGGCAAAACCTCTGGTTTCTGAACTGCTTCTCAGATTCTACACCTTCCTTCCATTCCCTGACCTCTGGTTTTCTGCCTGCAGTTCCCTGGCCTCTGGTTTCCCAAGCTTTTAGCACCCCCTAGCCTCTGGCTCCCTGGCTCTGGCCTGCTTCCTTCGGCCCTTTCTCCATTCTCCCCTCTGAGGGAGTAAAGGGGGGAAGCAACCTTGTTACTGATCCAGGCCAAGGCCCCAGGACCAGACCTAGAGCCTCCCAGGCCTGCTGGAGGCTAGCTGTCAGCCTGGGCAAGATGGCTGACTGTCCCTCTTCTCCCACACCTGCCGCAGGTGCTATCACCTTGAACCATAGTCCTGGGAGGCTAAGACCCAACTTGCATTTTAAGGAGGAAAAAAAAAAAAAGAACCCTTTCCCAGACCCGGCAGGGCCTCCCTCCCTATTCAGATGGTACAAAAATAGGGACTTCCTCCCCCCACTCCCATTAATACAGTTATTAAAATCAAAACCCCCACAGATTAATTATGCATTTTAATAACTCAGGTCATGAATATTCATAATGCGTTGCTTGCTCATGTTCTAATTAAAATATACTAATAGAATAAGATGTAGCTGTCAGAGTGGAATTTTTTTTACTCTTTTTTTTTTAAATGCCAGCACTAAGGAGAGCTGATACATGATAATCCTTGGATTGGCACAGCCCAGCCCAGATTTGGTACAAAGAATGGGTCTAGCTCAGTCTGGGGACTGGTTTAAAGGCTTCTCACCTCATAAGGCTGGCCATGATGCCTGCTGGGCTCTGCCTGTGGTGGAGTGACAGGAGCCTAGGAGTCCCTGGTATCTAAGCTGACAGCTTCTAGCTTGGGGGAGGGAGCAAGAGAAGGAAGAGGAGGTGAGAAGGAGACAGGGAAGGGACAAGAGGACAGAATGATGCTTACAGAGCAATCCAGTTTTCTTTTTAAGGTTTCCTAGACGCCAGAGGAGCAACCGCCTTGCCTGCCAACATCAAGGTCCACTTGGGCCCGGCTATGAGCCTGGTAGATGCCACCCTCTCTGGCCAGCCAAACGCGCACTGGCCAGGCTGACTTCAGCATCGGGTCCCTCAGCCAACGTCTACCCAACTGGCCAGCAGCCACCAGGGGCCCCAAATGTGCCCGTTCATTATTCAAGCAACAGTCTAAGGGCCCTCCCGGTCTCCTCTTTAAAAGAAGGAAGCTGGACTAGAAATGGTTTCACTGTTTCTTCCAGTTCTGACATTCCATGTTCTAGAGTCCCTAGCTCTGACATTTTAGACTCTAAGGTTCCAGACAGTCTATGCTTTACATGC